GAGCGTGAGTCACTGCCGGCGCGACGGGGAGCTGATCTGCTGCCTTGCAGCAAACCCCCTTCCTGCTCCGTGCCTCAGTTTCCTTCCCAGTGCGCTGTGATAACGGTAGCACTTCAGAACAGCATTATCTCCCAGTGAAGTGACTAAATTATGAATTTTGATGCCTAAATAGCTCAAAAGTAATCCTAACGAGGTGAAGGTTTTGCTGCTTGCTGGCTTACTGCTGGTCAGTCCAGATGCTGTTGATGCCATGTTGATGTTGCGTGATGCCTGGGGAGCCAAGTTGGCTCGGAGGGCTCGGCTTCAGCTCAGGCTCCCTCCTTGCAGCCTGGGGAGCCTGGTCTGGATTAGCAATCTGGCACTCTGCAGTCCCCGGCGTGTCCCTTGTCCCCGGGGAACGTGGAGAGCAGCTGCTCTGGGAGCGTTTCCCACTGCCGTGACAGCTGGGGCCGCCCCGAGCATGCGTGTGCTCAGGGGAGCAACCAAGCCAGAGGAAATGGAAGAGCAACCCGTGGTCTTCCCCCACACTGAGACTCCCTTTCGCCTGTCAGGGACAGTGGCCCCCCTCCCTCATCTGACCCTCTTTCTGCATTAGTGGAGTTTCCTGGCCTGGCAGGAAAAAAAGGCCGCCTTCCTGTCCAGCTGGACGGAGACTAACGCGGCTTTGTCTCTCTGCTCTTCCTCCCTTCAGGCTTCGACTGCCGCTGCGGGAACCTGTTCTGTGCCATTCACCGGTACTCTGACATGCACGCCTGCCCCTACGACTACAAGGCAGAAGCCGCCGAGAAGATCCGTAAGGAGAACCCCATCGTTATTGCTGAGAAGATCCAGAAGTTGTGAAGGGGGCTGAGCAGCTCCAACTGCAGCCAGGTGGCCTGCTGCTCCTCCCCTTCCTCCCAGCCTTCCTCTTCCTCCCAGCCCCATCGGTGGTGCGACAGGGACTCCAGCAGCACACACAAACCAGCGCCCGGACATGGAGACTCCTCGCACCCCTTTGGCAGAAAGCTGGCGTTCCTTCTCTCCCTTCCTGCCCCGAACAACAGCCGCAGCTCAGCCGATCCGTTCTCGACCAGCTTCCCAAGGGAAAAGGGACCGTCCAGCCCCACTGCTCCAGTGCTGAGACCTTCGGACTTGTCTTCCGCCGGGGCGGTTTGCGTGGCGCGGGCAGCGGGGCTCTGCCGGGCAGCCTTTCCCTTCAGCTGGCCGCTCCGAGTCCTGCGAACCACCCGGGACTCGCGGCTGGAGCCCGTGAGCTGCCGCTGGACTTGGTTCCCTCTGCCCCACCGTCTCTTTGTGGCGGATGTAAAACCGGGAGCTGGGGAATCCGGCAGCAAGGCTGCCTCCTGCTCCCTGAGAGGTGTTCGGTCTCAGATGCAGAAGAGGATTCTGTAGTTTTAACGCCCCCGATACCCCTCCCCTCCCTTTGAGACGCTGTTGTTGAAGCACTGGGATGGTTAAGCAGCAGAGTACCGGCACAGTAAAGTTATTTGGTGGCTTGAAGCGACGTAGACACGCTCCAGCCGCAGGTCAGGACCTTTAGGGAAGTACCGCTCGCGGCCTCATGCCTCTCGCCACGGGGAGGGAGCCTGCCAGGCTTGCTGCATCCAGGGACGTGGCTGGGCTGAGGGACACCCTTGCACCAGCCTCCCGTGCTTCAACGCCCCCTGAATAACCGCTGGCCGCTTCCCAAGCGAGGTTGTGTTGTAACACAGCGGCGCCTGCGCCTCTCCTCTCCCCTCTGCTCCCTGCCTTCTGCCTTACACGATTCTTTCTCATCGGGGTTGTGCACAAAGCTCAGATCGCCAAACCTCCTCTTCCTTTCCCGTCCCTGCGTGCAGGCGGGCGGCGGGGACCCTTCCTCCCCCGTGGGCCTCGCTGGTACGCGGTGAGAGCCTTTCTCCCCTGTGAGCACGTTGGCTCGGGAAGCCCACGCAACCGCCCTGCTCTCCGGCCTGGCTCCTTGTCCCCGTGGGATGAGAGGCAGGGCCAGATCCCTGGGAGACGCTCCAAAAGCTGGACAGGGGGATCTGGGGCACAGGGAAAGGCATGTGGAGGGCCACAGGGCACGTGGAAAGTCACAAGGAGGGTCCTGGGGTGCCCAGAAGCGCACGCGGGGGCTTTCAGAAAAACCCATGGAGAGCTCTTGGCCAACTGAAAGACTCGTAGAGGCATTGGGGGTGCTGGAAGACTCAGGGAGGGCTCTGGGGTGCAAGGAAAGGCAAAAGGAGAGCTTTGGGGTACACTGAAAGCACTCGGAGGACTCGAGCACCCTAAAAGGCACCCGGAGGGCTCTGGGACACACACGTGGAGGGCTCTGGGGTGCAGGGAAAGCCAAATGCTGGGCTCGGTAGCACTCCAGAAAAAAACACGTGGAGGGCTCTGGGGCTGTTAGAAAGGAAAACGCGGGGCTCGGGTACGCAGCAAAAGGCAGGTGGAGGCTCCCGGGGCGCACCGAAAGCCACCTCTGCACCATGCAGGGTCTGCACCCGCCCCGGAGGACCCCGGGGGGACTCTCCTCCCTGGGGACGCCAGGAGCGGGGCTGCGGCCGCGGGGCTCCCGGCAGCCTCACAAGCAGAGAAACCCGTATGAGTACCGGGGGGCAAAGC